GCTCTGCTCTCAGAGGTGTCAACCTCTCCCTGGCTGCATATTTTCATGCATATTTATATTTAGCTTCTGCACCGAGTTTGATACATTATTGTCAGCTAATTAGATGTAAAGGAGGCAGAGATACATGCTCCAAATTCATTAAAAGAAGCTGCAGTAATGACCCGGGCTGACAGCGATGTCAGAGCAGTCGCAGCAGCAGCAGCAGCAGACAGGCGGGGGATGACGTGCTGGAAAGAGGTGTGAATGGGTAAAGGGTCTTCTAATTAAACACTATTCCAGCGTTATTAACATCCTGCCACCCCAGCTCCAGACTGGAGACCAGCAGGTCTAACAAACATTCACTCTGCTCAGCTTGAGTACTCTCTGTGCTGTCGACTTTGAGATATGTGGCATTAACCTGGATAATAATGCTCCCCAGCTTTGGCCCAGACCCTGGCTGAGCCGCTGCAGTCTCCCCATCCAGCCGCCTGTCAGCCATTATCACTGCCTCGGCTACATTTAGGTTTTCGAATACAGAAGTACTGCGCTGCGGGAATGATCCCAAACACGCCTTCGAACGAGGTCCTGTTAACAATACCTGTAATCACGACGGGGGTAGGGGACCTAAAATCTCATACACAGGGAACACTGCCTTGACAAGTGGACGAGAACCATATTTATTCACAGACCATACGTGACAAATTGGACCGAGCTAACCAGTTAGCTGTAGTTTTTCTGGTTGTTTTCATCTCTGTTCAAACACGTGACCCGAGGAACACCGTCTCATACTAGTTTGACCTCCGTCCGTCCACGTTGGACGAAGAGCTGGGACTCAAACTAAGAGAGTAAACATAGATAGCCAATGAAACACAAGCACATTACTACTGTAATGGATACATCTGGTTTGCTCTGAGCTAAGACATCGATAACAGTCACGGCCTCCTGCTGGGTTAGTACAGCAGCCACCTGACATCTCACTGCTGCATTGGTTTTACCTTCACACAGAATGTGAAGCATTGACAACAACACAGCAACACAACAATCTTGGTGTTTTCACGACATCCTGTGACACAGGTTGCCATCTGGAGACAATACTCCCCCTACAGGAGTGTGAAGGATATTTACACCCCACAAATCAGAAAGATATAATGACCGGACATTATAGTTACTGTCATGAAAAGATTATTTTTCTCTATATTGTAACCGACCTTTAATAATCACTGTGAAATGGCTGTCACTGTTACGTACAGATGTCATTTATTTTGTCACTTTCAGTGTAACAAACTGGACAGGTGGGCCGGAGCCAATCCCACCTGTCCCCACCCCACACACATAACACAGAAATGAACAAACTTCTTACACAAATCACATAACACAGAAATGAACAAACTTCTAACACAAGTGTTTACTTTTAACAACAACAAAAAAACAGTTTTGAAGCCAAATCCAAATCATGTGAAGTGAAGAGTTCCTGTCTCAGTTTAGAAAGAATTCTTTATCCCTGCTGAGACAGCTGCTTCACCATGACCTCCTCCTTAACTGGTGTTTCTAATAAAGTATGTGTGTGTGTGTGTGTGTGTGTATGGTCCCTGCTCAGGACTTTTACAACTCCAACTTCCTTGGCATGAATAAAGTAAAGTTCCTCCAGTAAAATTAAGGCCACAAACCTACGAACGTTTCGTTTCTCAGCGAGGTCCTGCAGTCGACAGGAAGTCCTTCTGATTGAGGTCTCCAGATGGAGTCTTGTTGGAATGTTGCCTGCTGATCCCAGAGAGTAACTGAAACCTCTTGTGTACCCTGCCCTGCATTCAACCCCTCTGCTTCCATTCAAACTGTCATCACTCAAAATTTCTGTCTGTTCACCAGGTCCGCAGGGAGGACTTAAAGTGACCCGCACCAGTATTCCGTCTTTCCCCGAGTCCTCACCAACTCAGACCCTGAGGAGCTGGACCTGACTTTGACCGTGGACTTCAGACGTCTCTCAAAGGTACAAATGTCTGTATGTGAGTACACAGAAAGTGGAGGAGGAGGGACGGGGGACGGGGGATGTGGGGGGGGGCTTGGTTGTGCAGGATGTGACAGTGAATGTATTTAGATTAGACTTAACGTCAAAGACAGAAGATCAGAATGCAGAACTGAATTGTGACGTACTGAAATTAACCTCATTATGGGATGTTCTTCAACATGTGGTATAAATAATAAATGACGGCAATTTGATAATTGGGCCGCTGTAATACCCAGAAGTACCTGTAGTGTTTCAGTCCTGTGCTGTGAAAGTGACAGTAACTAAAATGTCTCTGGGGTCGCCAGAAATTTGCGATGTCAAAATGGGGTCACGAGTAAAAAAAAAAAGGTTGGGAACCACTGGTTTAGAGACTCGTGGATTAAAAAGACATTAGAGACATTACAATAAAAATAAATGTATACGACTGATGAAGCTTGTTACAACAGAGACAGTTCATTGGTGGATGCAGATCTGTAAATTACAGAGTCAGAAATGAAAAAATAAATTGCTCATCATCAAAGGTCAAACCCAGTTCCTGCCGTGACAGATGCCGTGTCAGATACTGTGACACTGCTGCCCCCAAACCCGGGGTTACTGTATGTGCGTGGTGTTTTCCATCACCTGACCTACTTTTTCCTGGTTCACTCTGTTACCAAAACTTTTCTTTCTCTCTCTTTCTGTCTTACTTTTCTATCCCTCTCTCCGTTGGTCACGAGCTGAAAAAGGTTTGTACTGTAAATCTGGGTTTATTTTGACAAGACTAAAAAAAATCATTTTGATCTGAATTCCTCCTTCCCAGCTTTTGTTGGGTTGAGTTGTCGGTGAAATACCGCCTTCTGCCTTCCATCTTATCACTTCTGTAATCACAGATGTTTGAATCCAGTGGTTCTTCACTGGTCTCTCTTCAGGACCTTCATCAACATCTCTGATTCACTGATGGTGGTTAGATATGACACTGTGATGTCCTCAGGTCCAGGTGCCAACTCCTGAACTACTCTATGGGCTCATCTCTGAGAGAATGCTCTTCTGTTTCCAAATGCTGCATCAGTTTTGACAGCTCACGCCTTCACGCGCCTCACTGCACCAAACACAGAGGTCCGAGTCCGCCATTCATTCACTACACTGTCTCAGAAAGGCTGTGTTTCACCATTATATATTCGTACTTAGCCTTATGTAAAAAGTTGGCGTGTCTTCTTCTATGACGTGAAATGTCAAGTATCGACTCACTTTGCATTACAGCACCACCTACTGGGAAGGAGTATGAATAGGCAAGACTCGCTGCATTATTTTAGTTTGTTCAACAAACAATGTGTTGTTGTGAGCCTTTTTGAACGGTCACGTTGTTAGAAAATTTCCATTCGTCCAGTTTGTTTTGTTATTGCTAATCCAGTGTTATTTGTTTGCTACTCTAGAACAGGGAGTATGAAGTGCAGCTGGAGGCACCAAGTATGTGGTTCCTGTGGGGCTTGAACCCAGGACCTTCTGCGTGTAAGGCAGATGTGAGGGGATAACTGCTACATTAAGGAACCACAATATATATTTTTTGTCTTCTTATTAGTGTGAAGCTAGATATAAACCTTAAAGTATTATTGAAATGAATCTTTCTGTCTGGAAAACAAAAGAATTTGTGAAATCTAGCCGAGAAAAAACGGTTTCATAGTCAAAAAAAATGAGACATATTCAAATGTTTTCACAGATTTGCTGTTTGCACTGAAACCAATTAGAGCCAACGAGGCTAAACACTCCGGTGTAATCCAAAGTTGTTGCAAACTCAGCAGTGAACGACACGTCACAGCATCTAAACAGGTCAAAAACAGTTGATTTGAGCATGACTTTTCCTGGTGTAAAATAGGCTTCAGACTGCCATTGTGTCTTCCTGTGACTCACTCTCCCTCGATGTTTGCAGCTCACTGACCTGAAAACATTTGCATTCCTCTCTGAGCTCTCTTTGCCTCACCCTTACTCACTTTATCACTCTCTCACGGCCTGCTGTGTCTCCCAGGGCCGCGTTAGCCTTGCTGCTACGTGTGTGTGGATGATGTTTTTGATGATGACGAAACTTTTTAAAAATTCTAAAATTCAGTACCATTTCAAAACCTGAACCTGAAGAGTCTGCTGCCAATGTGTTGTTGTTGTTTTAATATCTATAAACAAAGACGTTTTTGGCTCAGGTGTAACATTATTTTAGCCAGATTTTGTCAGCTCTGGTCTGTAAGGTATCTAGGTAGACTATGTGTGTGTGTGTGTGTGTGTGTGTGTGTGTGTGTGAAGCTGAGGGATGAGCCATGTGCAGACCTCCTGCCCTGGGGAGACAGTTATGTATTGTAATGTATTCCACTGACATCCACCCATGCTGTTTACAGGCTGAGCTACCTTCATTAGCATGAGTTCACAGCCCTTATCTCCTGACAGTTGTCCTTGGAACCCCAGGGCTCTTACCTCCAAAAGTTCACCATGAGTAGGGCAGGCTTGGACACAGACCCTGCACACTCCCCATCAGTGCTTGCTCAGGCCTTTTGTTCAATTATGGATCAGAGGTAGAAGCGCAGTCCGACTCGTTGTGGAGTTGTTTAATGTGTGTGTGTCTGCGTGTGTGTGTTTTCAGTTATCTACCACATACTGTGTCAATACAAGGAAAAAGGCTGTTTTGTTGTTGGCTCTGTACTTTGGTCTTAAACTGAAGTGTAAACTGAATAAAAACACATACTTTAATGATTTGAATGAAGATAAGTTAGTGGCTTGGTGGGTTGTGGAGGTAATCCCTCTAATTACATTACTTAATTACTGAACCATCCTGTTATTGGCTAAATAGTTGGTGCTAATTAAACAAGTGCTTGTCAGTCATAATGTACTGAAGCTAAAGCACTTTTTTTTTTAACTTTTTTTTAATTGCTGTGTTAGCTGAGGTGTAGACGTCTCCTGGTCAGATGAGGAGGTTAGTCGTCTAACAACGGAGCCGCACCTGTGCAGCTGACGCATTCCTTTTCATTCGTTCTGTACTAAAACAGCTCCATAGTACGTCACACTGTGACATTTTGTTTTCTGGGTTTAAATGTTACACATGAAGGGCTGTGAGTGTGAACACACAGACGGCTGCTCTCTGTCTGCTAGCACTTCAGCTATGACTACATGCCTTTGTGGTTACTGTGGAGCGCTGCAGACTGTCAACATTTATTAAGGAGCTTTTTCTTAATTTACATTTTCTAATTAAAGACAAATAATCTTACAGCCCAGAGCAGGGTTAAAAAAAAACAGTTTGATCATTATAATACGATGAAAGGAAACGGCTAAGTTCACGGGACAAAACAAAACGGATAAAAGCATATTTTAAAATCCTCTTCACACAAATGAACCTTCATTTTCCCACACAGGTTACAGTCATGCCTGACACCTGTTTGGCTCACAGGTTAGTTAGTTAGTTACAGTTCACTACCACCTGACGAACAGCATTGTTCACGTCCATATACCTCACCTGCCAAATAGTGTCCTCCCAAACCTACAGCACTTTCAGGCTCAATTAAATGCTCTAGGTGGGACCTTCAGTCAGCTGTGAACGACGCTGCTGAGATCCAGCATGCCTCGCCCTCAGGGCCGCTGCTCAGCATATTTCCATGTCAGGTACATTCATGTGATGATGTGCTTTATTAAAAGTTAATGATTATTTCCTGCTGCTGTGACAGGTGAATGATAGATAGGTGGAAACTATTCATTCTCATAGCTGTGAAATGACATGAGGGTAATTCACATTAGTGCAGAGGAAAGTGGTGGAGAACAGGATTAGTCATCAGGTGTTTGTTAAATGTAATTTCAACAGACAAGTAAATACCACAAACTAATTGATGAACATTTAACGGTGGGTCGAAATAGTTTGAACTTTATGAGTTTGTCTGCAGGAACTAGGGTGCCACTCCAGAAGTGCCTTAATGAAAAAGGTATGTGTTGGTTCCACAACAATGGCTTTGTTTGAACCGTTTGGCTGAATTTAATACATGTGACGTCTACAAAGATTGAAGAAGAGGTGACTGTGAGGTCAAACAGAATCTGTCATCGTCATTATGAAAAATAAAAACTGTGTCCATTCATTTATCTTTGCCCTTATTCATATTTACTTGAGTAATCCACAGCTCCCCTTCAAATATATACAGTATATATATATATATATATATATATATACAGTATATATATTCTAGTATGTAGTATATCTAAAATATCTATAATTCATGTGTTATTCCAGCTCCACTCTGATGCTCCCAAAGCGACGACTACATTTTTAAAAATGTGTTGCTTTTACAGTGTGAGCTGCAGCAGTCAGTAAAAAAAAAAAGTGTTGTGTTTAATGCTGACAGAACTTGTCCGCTCTGAAGATCCTCTTCACACTTTCCCCTCCCTAAAATAATGGAGCCTTCTTCACCCTCGTTTCCACTTTCACTCAGGCTGCACAGATGAACATCTGTTTAATTCTGAGTTGGAGCATCATGATCACATTAGACCGGAGCTGCACTAGGAAAACAAAAACATCTGCATCCTCCCTGACAAAGCGCTGTTTGTACCCGTATACAGTAAGGTAATGGGTTCTGAAACATGCGTCTCACTGGGAGGTGGATGGAATGTAACGTAAAGGAGGAAAAAACACTACATCAGACGCCTGCACACAGGCACGATTCCTTCCTTTGTCTTCGGAGAGCAACGCCAGAGATGATCCTAATTGAAAGAGAATCCAAGTCCAAGTTTGTTCAAACTATGTTTACTTGTGTTGATGGGTTTCACCGAGGTCATGGTGTTATTGGAGAAATGAGCACAGATAGGAGCCGGTGCAGACCTGTCTGAACCATTAGTCTTCACCGTCCTCTGTCTGTTATGTGTTTGATATGCAGCGTGTGTGCAGGGGAAAATGGAGCAGGGTGATTATTTTTGGTGAAATAGATGTAAACAAATGCCTTGTTGGCCTCATCTTCAGATATTGTTCGTGACAGGATTCCACAGCAAAGAAGATTACTTGTCAGATTTCATAGTAATTTATCATAAATAAGTTTAATGCCTAATAAAAATTCCACATTATCAAAATTTCTTTTTACAATTTCAGCTGGTTTGTTTTCCAAGTCCTGACAGCTGTTGGCAGTCATGCAGTTCTTGCAGAACTACTGATAAAGCCCAAAGAAAACAAGACGGTGGGCGTTAGCTAGGTTAGCTTAGAACAGCCTAGCCTTTTCGGAGATTGATTATTGACTGTAATCAGGTGTGTTTCTTATATTTAGGAGGGAATTAATAATTACTATAAATCACTGCTGCATTTGTTCACACACGGAAAACAGCTTTTAATACAAACGTATTAAGCACGGTCCGCAGACAGGGAACAAGGAACTTTTGGCAACAAACGAAGCAGCATTTATTAAGTGAATTTCCTAACCTAGTTTTACTTGGCTTCTGCAGGAACCAAACCTGTGTCAGAGTTTCCCTGATATTATTTTCCAGGACTTTTCCAGCATATTTTCAGTCACTGCAGAGACATCTTACAGTAACACATTCCCCTCGTTCTTTGGAACTCAGTCGTAACCACTGGTGGACAAAGCACACCAACCATGTACTTCAGTAAAAGTATAGATACCTTGTGTAAAATATGACTCCAGTAAACTGGAAGTAAGCATTCGCTCACAAGGCAGGGGTAGAATAAATCATTTCCAGGATAACCTAACCATTTCCAGGACTTTGTTTTTCTTCAAAATTTTCATATGTTTTCCATGACATGGAAAATTGGTCGATCATCTGCCAGGTTTTACAGGATGCATGGGATCCCTGCTGTGTGCAATGGTGAACATTTGGGATGCAGTTGAACAAAAAATATATATCTATCTATATATATATATATATAACAATGTCCATTTGCAGACAATGGCTGCAGTAATTCTGTTACTATTGTGAACCAGAATATTTTGATCAAGATGTTTATCAAGGTGCTTTTTTTGACTGTAAGTTAAAGCAATTGCAAAAGGTCAAGTCAGAAAATATGTTGAAATGGATTCCAGACATATATATATATATTAGCTTGACCTCATACTACACAGTGTATTACAATATGCACCAAAGAACGATAAATAAAATAGCATTTTCCTGCACTCTTACCACTGCTCTGTGTTGGAGTTAAAGAAAAAACTGCTTACACTGAAGACTCTTTTTTTTTTTTTCTTGAGGAGAAGAATGAGCAGCAGAATTTTACAGGGATGACAGCGTCAACTACTAATTACGTTTTCTACAGTATCTGCCGACAGTCTCGACACCAGGATGAAGTGGCTGAGGAAGTTTTTGAAAGTTACTAACTTTTGACTCAAAACTCATTTTACAAGTTGAAAATAGTTTGTAGAATTGTTTTTTTTTAACGCTGTGACTGGCTTTGGACTAAATCTTTCAAACTGTTTTCTGTTGGGGCAAAGAAAGCAAGACCAATAGTTAGCCTCTGTCTGGACCTTTCTGTAAGCGTCACCGTATCACCTGTGCCTGGGTTGGGTTTACATAAAAGTCATTCAACATTTTGTTCTTCAAGATGTGAACACTGTCCTCCACACTCTAGTGTACTAGCTTAGCCCTCAGCTAACCAGAGGAGCTAACAAATCTGACACTCCTCTTCACAATGGTCCATTATTACGGAGTGATAAGGCAGGAATTTTGAGGGTTGGATTGGAAATCCAACCTCCACTATTCACACACTCCACCAGTACTTTTTTATAGAGCATCTCAGATGTTTTTGACCTGCACCCTGATCCAGCCGGACCAAGCCTCTGCATCAAGACCATTATCACTCCATAAATCTGGCAGATCTCAATAAACTTCTCTCTCTGTCTTTTCACATGTGCTAACATGCGCTCAATGCAGCAAATACCACATTTAGAGCCAGTGTAAAAACGACAAGAGCGCTCCCTTCATAAGGCTGAACTACAAATTATTACCCATCTACCTTTCTTCTACTCCAACACATGACTCCACGCCAAACACCTCCAGTCTGATATTAATCTGAAAGCAAACGCTAATGATGCTAAAGACGACTGGGTCAAAATGTCACTTTGGTCATTTGAATTCTTTGTAGTAATTTAGTTTCTGTGAGCTGAGATGTTTGGTCATGGCCCAGTCGTTTTTCTAGGCTAGCATTCTCCCCTCCCGGTAAGCATCGCTAATGTTACCAAGTGCATTAATATTGATTGCGATCATGCCTCCCAGGCCTAACTATTGGAAGAGGTGATTGAAAAGGCAAAGAAAGCATTTATTCATCACTAAATGTTTGCCTTTTAGGGGTAATTTCGTTTTTTTTTTCTTTTTTTCTAAAGAACATGAAAAAAGAGAACATAGCTGGAGGAAGAGGAAAGATGGCAGTGATGATGTCAAGTATGATGGTGAAGTCATTACTGAGCCTGCTGCTAAATAATGAACAACACAGCACAAAATGAACAGCGCAGGTAGAAAATAATTGGAAAGGTGTCAAATATAAATTAAATCAAATTATGTTTATGAAGGGATTTGTTTTATTGTTCCTCACACTAATTAGGCAGCGCCTGTCCAAGGACCACCGTGAAGTGTATGAGACTGAAATGTCACAAATAACCCTGACCCTTCGATTGTGTTGTTTGTGACATTTCAGTCTCATACACTTCACATGGTATTTTAATCCTGGTGGCTGCCAGTTGAGTGCTTTCTTTAAAGGGGAAATAGGCGAAAATTTCAGGTTTTGTTAATATATATACGGGTGGGGAGCTGCGCTTTCTTTGTAATTCTGTTCCTACGATGCAGCATAGAGTTTTGTTGTATGTCTGAGCTCACATACTGTTCATTAGTACCTCTGTCACTCATCTACGCTAACACAGCAGCATCATAATCTAGGACGTAAAAACGTCAGAAGAGTCGGACTTTGGCTTGGGAGCCGGAATGAAGTTCCCAAAAAAACAACAGAAACAAAAGAAAGTGAATGTAACACAACTCAGTGTATGATGCACGACTGACACAGACAGACAGAGGTGTCTGTGGCGTCCTCTCATGGACCCATGATTGGAAAAGTCTTCTTGGCCAGTTTGACCGTCAATCACGTGGTGAGCGTGGCACCTCAGGCCCTGTGTTTGTTAGAGTTGACAATACTTTGTCTATTTTTCATCAACCAGTTATATATTTGTCATTAAAATGCTCCAGGACCGTAACGTATGCCATACAGTTCTCGTCTGCATGTGGGCCTTTTCACATTTCTCTTGTGGCAATAGTTTTGTTTGTCTTCGTAGGATAGGATAATTTACATGAGGAAACTTGTAATTCCCTGTGGTTCTTTTCAGGGGAAACTGTTTGTTTTAGTTCCTCAGGCAAATCATAACAAATGACTCCACTGCAGAAACAGAATCTTTCCTTTTCTGTCTTTTTTTTTTTCAGAAATCCTAGCCCGTTGGTGTGCGGAATCCGGAGCGTGCTGTTTTTCTTTGCCGCGCGATAGAGACGTGGGACGACAACCAAACGCCTGCCTGTCTTCACTGCCACTACTCCACCGCTGCTGCCACCTTGAATTGGCTTGTGAGAACAGTGAGTAAAATCTTTTTTTCCCGACGCCCTTCCACCCAAAATCCCAGTTAGTACGTCATCTGGCTAGAAATAGAGACTTACAGTACAATAGATTTTTAACTCACCATTTGTTGATTGTCACTTGTCAGAAAAGCAGTAAT